GATCAAATTTTCTGGTCAATTCTACTCAGTCGTCATGTTTATACGTTAGATTATAAGGTTTATTTAATCATTTCACGACATTCCACGACATTTTTTTCTTCAATCCTCTCAGTGATATTGTGGCCGTGAGATCATCGTAATCTGATTTCTATCCGTAGATGATGAAAGCATGTTACAATGAGTTTTTAAAATAATTCTATTAAGTCTCTGTAATGGCTAAAATCAATCCTTGAGCAGTTCGTAACATATCCAAACCCAAGGTGGGCCAAGCAGATAGAGTAGTAATCAATCGTCTCATTCAAATATTAGTTGATGGAACTGATGAAATAACAACTTAAATTGAAATAAAATTGAATAATACGTATAGTAATAGTAATAATTAATCGAAACAATTGATAACAAAAGAATAATAAATAACTAAATCAATAGTAATAATTAAAATTCATTATAAAGTAACCAAAACAATAATAATTAAATAGTATGGAATATCAATTAATGAATACACTCTCATGCATGCATTCAAGTCGTCATTTTATTATGCTGAGTCTAGCACAAAGATTTTTTAAAGGATAAAAGATACTTCAGCATTTCTCGACGCCAAAACATACCTGGACCGGGTTGATTGCTATTTCACTCGCTTTGCTGCAACCATTTTTTGCAACGATACGACCGAGTCCGATATCCAACTGGCGACATGTTTTCAACGTTTTGCACTGGCTTGCTGGAATGACATCATTTGTTGTCTTTGACGTAGTGTGAGACTAGTGTGCAAAGTTTGTTTAACGCACATCACCGGTAGCTATGGGATTTTTCTTGAGGACTGTTTTAGGATAGACATCCATTCTTTCCGAAATCACCAATTTACCGTAGTCGATTGAGTTCTCGCATTGTCACTCTTCATGAGCTCGTGTAAGCAGAAAATGAAACAATGAAGTAAAGAATAATCAGTCTAAATGAAAATTTATTCATAGAATGAAGGAGGATATATTATGGTGAGTTACTGACTAAATAAAATTATGAAAATTTTCATGAATGGATTGCGAATAGTGATAAACTGTCATTGAGGCATATAGTAAGCTGAATATAGTGATAAATATCATCAATATATGGACAAGTAACCTGGTGTAAAGAAATGAGCAGAGCTAGAATGATGTTGACTGCTTGTTTGATAAGAACAAGAATTTTGATAATGAGAGACGAGGGTGAAAGGGAATAGTATCATAAGACTGAGTATCACTGAGATGTAATGAGATGAGATCAGTTGGAATATTTAAGAAGTAAGATAGAATACAATTATTCGATTAGTTTTAAAAGGTAAGTTGGCGAAAATTTGAGCATAGCGTCTTATCGACAACATTATTGTGACAACATGAAGTAGAATATGTCCGTCCCATAATGCCAGAAATATAGAAGACGTAAAAATGGAGAAAATTAANTTTGGCATTCATTTCAACGTAGAAAAAATTGTTGTTATACTTTTATTCAATGAGAATATTTCTGTTATTGGAGGGAGGTTATTTAAAGCAATGTGGCTGACATATTTTATATTTTTAAAACATTGTCATATTAAGATATTATTGAGAAGTATTTGATGTTGTGCGCTAATGATGAGGTGTTAGGTTACATGATGAAAGTTTTTTTTGCAAATTTTTGAAATGATATCAAATTTTCTCATTGTATGTATTATTAAGGTAGATTATACACAACTTTTATTGAAACAGTTTTAAGTGATTTCAATTATGTTCGATTAGTTCATTTTGTGTCGTATTTTTCGTTGATGTTATTAGCTTTGTATGATTTCATGATTTCAATGAATGTTTATAATTCATCAACTCGTCGATATCATCACGTACGCCATCCACATCGCACCACCACGTTCACCTACCTACCTGCAGCATCGCTACGAAGTATTCCATAAGGCAATATTCTATCAGTGACTCATCAATGAAGCAGTTGCTACTATCAGCGTTCAACAAATTCAACAGCTCGACAACCTTATGGAAATGATTCGCCCTCAACCTCAATCAGCCAAACTGTAAAGGTCTGCTATTTGCATTTCCACCCACCTCCTCCCCC